TAAAATAAGTTCACGTATTTCTGTGTTCATCTAAAAAAACTCAAAATTAGTTTTCAAATGGGTATAATTGCTAGCCTTGTATTTGTATGGTGTAATTTATGTGAGTGGAAAGAAAAGCGCCGGTTTGTTCAATATTGAAACATTACACGTTGTTAAAGATCCTGTATGTTTTGTGGTTGATATTATTACTGTGTGTATACCACACTTGCAAAAAGTTATATATGTATATTATTATGCAAATAAAATAATTTTCAAACATCGAAGAATATGTAAAATGTGTACTGCAAATATTTGTGCACATTATATTTAATAAATAAATTATATGCATTCATTTCTTATTGGAAAATTTGACTTAGAATTTATAGAAAATGAATTTCTAATTACTTCCCTTTATTTACATGAAATGTTAATTTCGGTAATATCTTTATAAATAATGCTTATTGGAACTTACAATATTGACAAAGCTTAATTTGAACATCATATTTATGAAATAAAACCATGAAAAAATGTGTTACAGGATCTTTAAAGTCGTAAATATTGTAATATTAGCCATTGATATGTTAAATTTGTATTATTTCAATTGACACGTTATTGTTCTTTGTTTCAGTAATTTTTTGGCAGTGTCATATTAATCAAAATAGATAATAAATTTGCATTCTTTGACGACACTTAAAAATTAGATCATTTATTTAATTGATATCATTTAACACTTTATATTTTATATGGCATTATTTGTACTGAAATTACACTTATAGAGTACAGCATATAGGTTATAAAAATAAAATTCTTACCAGTCCTATACAAGGAATAGATACTGAAATCTGATTTGAAGTCTGAAATATAAAGAATAAAAGTAAATGATTTTATTCATGTTAAAGGAAAGATTTTGTAGTTTCTACTAAACAGCTTCCGGAAATGTTCAGGCAAACACTTCTGGACTCGTCTTTAAGATAAAAAAATTGCAGGCAATTGTTTGTATAGCTGTTCGCGTGTTAATTGAAAATTTTAATGGTCAATGACATAAGGAAAGTTGCCTTCAGTTTCATGCAAATTTTCATTAAATATTTTGAATTTATTAAGAAGTAAAATAATGGTGAGTGACCAAATAAAGAAATCTTCACATTGCAATCAACACTTTGAATCTACGAAAATTACCCCCAAAAAATGTTAATTACTTATTAGGTTATGCAAAATTAGCCCTTAATGCATTAGTCACATAGTAAAAATAAGGTGATTAATACTGCAAAATTAGTCATTAATTGCATATATCTTCCCTTTTCTTAAAATTTCAGTACATGTTTGTCGAGTTTGATTGTCTTAAAATAGTTTGGCTCATCTGCAGGCATGCAGCAACACGAGCAAGAAAGTGTACAAGCAAGCCAGCGCTTTAAAGTTCATTTTTTTCGGTCATGGGTTGTTTGATATAACGAAGTTGCTGCAAGCAGGCTTATATATAAAAAAGATTTTTCTACCAAAATATAAATAAAATGACTTACCGATGGTGTCATAGTCTTCTGCTGTTATAAGTAGCAAATGTTTCTTTATCTTAACGCCAACAATATCTTTTCAACCATCTTTACCACTAGAAACAGTTGCTATTTATTATCTAGTATTTGTCCCGACGCATTTTGTTATATTTGTCGTTATTAAATTTTGTATTCAGTATTAATAATAAAGTATTGCATAATATCCATAAATGACATGATAAAAATGTGTTTGTGTCATTCTCTTTCAAAATGTTAAGCTTTGTTTTTTAATTTCCTTTAAATTCCATATAAATAGTTTTCCTATCAGTATAAGGGAAATTAATGTAAAACGAACATAACGTTTTAGATAGTGAACGAGTAAACCGGTAGTTGTAGGTCTATTTTACGTATTACATCAGCATGGGGTAATGTGATATCATTTCATAAGTTGATATGTTGATATATATTTTTATACAATTTCAAATACTTATGAACAAGTCAGGCAACTTAATATGAATAAACTTTATTGAAATTAGTTATTGGGAGTATATTTGATATTTTAATATTGAATAGATAATCAAACAATTATTGAGATCGTTTATGTTTCAACATGATATATACTCATAGATAGAACATGGCTAGAACATGGCATAAATTCCAAGTGATGACAAAAACATACATAATTAAATAAAATACATAATAAGAAAGAATGAAAATTTCAAAATCACTTCTGTAATTTAGTATATGTATATGACTTTATAGGTAGCAAAGTCATGAAACGCGTTAGAGGAATACATAGAAAATGTACAATGAAATTGAAACAGGGGTCAATTTGAATATAAGAGTTTCAATAATCTATTTCTAAATAAATGTAGGTAATTACGTATATGCGTAAACAGTACATAAAAATATAAAGGCAAATGGCCAATAGCAAAAATATAATGAATGTGTACAGTCAAGTAAGAAATTAACGACACGATCAGTTCAGTTTGTCTTATCATATAAACATATTGAACAAATGGTCGTGCCATCTATTCAAGAATGTTCGTTCCCAATAAAAAATTTTGACGGTTTATTTTGTTAATATCATAAATATGGCATGATGTCGAGTAAAATATGGAATACAAGATCAACAAGAAAGGGAGGCGTTCAATTAACGCATTCCCAACACATCCCAGCAACACAAGACAAGCGGCAAGGAGAGAACATTCATATTTTTGTTATATGCCAAGTCGTTCTTAAGTTATATACGATGCTTATCTAAAAAACGTTTTGTTCAATAGTGAACAGGACATGTTTTATCAGTTTTTAAATTGTAAATAAAGGTTTCGACTCCCCCTCCCGCACATGCTATTCAAGCTAAGTGAGAAAATGCCGCAGCAGCGACCCTTCACTATAATAGAGGAAGAAGTAGAAGAAAAAGAATAGTATTCCATGATTGCGTGAAAGGAGAACTTTTATATCAAATAGGCGATTCCACGCCAAAGACTAGTTCTTTGATTGAACTAGATAAGTTCACATCTTTATTTATTCACATTAGTGAATGACAGAACGTCGTAAAATTACAGTAGTTTATATACATACAGACAAGTAGAAAACATAATTGTGTGCTATATCAGTCAAATCAGCTTGTTTTTCTATGGTGGCATATTTCTGCCACCAGATAACCTGATAACAAACTAGTTAATTAAGAGGTTAACTAGTTACGTAACTAGTTAACCTGATAATTAACTAGTTAATTAAGAGGTTAACTAGTTACGTAACTAGTTAATTTTTTCAATAAAGAAAAGATCATAACGGGAAATAAATGCACGTTAGTGCCTGCAACTGCCATCCTTTTATTATATCATCATCTTAAAATTAAGAGGTTAACTAGTTACGTAACTAGTTAACCTCTTAATTAACTAGTTAATTATCAGGTTAACTAGTTACGCAAATACCTAACTAGTTAACCTGATAAATAACTAGTTAAGTATTAGGTTAACTAGTTACATAAAAACGTAACTAGTTAACCTGATAAATAACTAGTTAGTTAAGAGGTTAACTAGTTACATAAAAACGTAACTAGTTAACCTGATAAATAACTAGTTAGTTAAGAGGTTAACTAGTTACGCAAATACCTAACTAGTTAACCTGATAAATAACTAGTTAATTAAGAGGTTAACTAGTTACGTTTTTACGTAACTAGTTAACCTCTTAACTAACTAGTTATTTATCAGGTTAACTAGTTACGTAACTAGTTAACCTGATAATTAACTAGTTAAGTATTAGGTTAACTAGTTAGGTATTTTCGTAACTAGTTAACCTGATAATTAACTAGTTAATTAAGAGGTTAACTAGTTACAATAAAACGTAACTAGTTAACCTGATAAATAACTAGTTAGTTAAGAGGTTAACTAGTTACGCAAATACCTAACTAGTTAACCTGATAAATAACTAGTTAATTAAGAGGTTAACTAGTTACGTTTTTACGTAACTAGTTAACCTCTTAACTAACTAGTTATTTATCAGGTTAACTAGTTACGTAACTAGTTAACCTGATAATTAACTAGTTAAGTATTAGGTTAACTAGTTAGGTATTTTCGTAACTAGTTAACCTGATAATTAACTAGTTAATTAAGAGGTTAACTAGTTAAGTATTTATTTAACTAGTTAACCTATTAATTAACTAGTTAATAATCAGGTTAACTAGTTACGTAACTAGTTAACCTCTTAATATTAAGCTGACAATAAGGGATGGCAGTTTGCAGGCACTAACATGCATTTGTTTCCTGTTATGATCTTTTCTTTATTGAAAAAATTAACTAGTTACGTAACTAGTTAACCTCTTAATTAACTAGTTAATTATCAGGTTATCTGGTGGCAGAAATATGCCACCATAAGTTAGGTATTTGCGTAACTAGTTAACCTGATCATTATCTAGTTAATTAAGAGGTTAACTAGTTAAGTATTTATGTAACTAGTTAACCTATGAATTAACTAGTTAATTATCAGGTTAACTAGTTACGTAACTAGTTAACCCGTTATCACTTATCTATAAATAGCATTGTTTTGCTCCATTGCATTGATATATGGTCAGATACTGGAGAGAATGGTCAGATACTGGATTTGTACGAAGGCAAACATTAAATAAAAATAAATGTTATAGTACTTGTCAATGAATTTAATCAATACATACTGCATAGGGAATTAATGCATATTTTGTTTTCATTTACTTTAAAAAAAAAGGTGGTTTTTTTGTTTGTTTTGTTTTTTAAGAAAAATATCCAGTTTTTACAATTTATTATTTGTAAATCGTCATGTAAATGAAATGATTAAAGATATAATGTTTTAATTAATGAGATATACTTTACTAAACTGGTATATAGATTATGTTTTATTTTAAGAATGTGTACGATAAGTTTACTGTATATCATATATGTTTAAGGTCTCAACTTTAAACCATTGTTTCAATGCTCTCTTCTTGTGATTTAACCATGATAAGTATGGAGTAGCTGACATCATAGCGACTTCGATAGTCAAACTTTGTTGGAAATGAATAAGCATCACAAAGAGTTAGATAGTTTTGCCAGTAAAATGTCGAAAATTGAACTAGAACATAAAAGCATAGAAATCGCATTAAAGTCAGAAATACAAGATTTAAAATGTCGTAGTATGCGGGACAATTTATTGTTTCACAAAATCAAAGAAGAAAAAGATGAAAACTGTGAAGTTAAAATCTTACAATTCATTGAAGAAAAACTTAAAATAGAAAATGCATCTAGTGATATCCGACTTCAGAGAGTACATCGCATTGGGCAATATAGTGCCGGAAAAACACGACCGATTGTCGCTAAATTCACGGAATTCCCCGATCGTGAGCGGGTGCGACGAGCTGCTAAGGAGCTGAAGGGATCTATCTATGGCATATCAGAACAGTATCCAAAAGAAATAGTAGATCAGCGTCGTAAGTTAATCCCTATCATGTTACAGGCCCGCCGGGATGGAAAGGAAGCATACCTTAAGATGGACAAACTTTACATTAACAATCAGCTCTATAGAGAATCATGCTAGGAACCAAGTGGGAATGTTTTAAAATGTATATCGTGGAACGTAGAAGGACTTACTGTGGGAAAAAAACAATGCAAGGATTTTTTAGACATATTATGTAAAAATGATATTATCTGTCTAAGTGAGACATGGACAAACAAATCGTCCAATATTGAACTTAAAGGCTATTCAAACCCAATTCATTCATATCGGAAATATCAACACCGTAGGGCAAAGCGGTCAAGCGGCGGACTTGTGGTATATATTAAAGACACTATACGGCAAGGAATAAAAATTGTTAAAAATTCTATAGACTGTATAATTTGGTTAAAAATAGATAAAACATTTTTTAATATTAGAGATGATATATATATTTGTTTTACATACATCGCACCTGAATCTTCCCCTGTGCATAACGTTTACAATATTGATATTTTTTCACAACTTGAACAAGATATTATGGACTATAATTTGCTAGGCAAAATATTTGTAGTAGGCGATCTTAATAGTAGAACTGGTTGTAAAGCTGATTTTATTCAGTTTGACAGAAATATTAGTAGTGGTGACGTAATAACTATTGATAATCCCATGCCTCGCATTTCTCGAGATACTACGTCAAATCGGTTCGGTGATTATCTACTTGATCTCTGTAAAGCAACCAATCAGCGAATAGTTAACGGTCGCTGGCCAGGTGATCATGGGAAATTTACCTGTTTCACGCATAATGGAACAAGTGTAGTAGATTACCTACTTACACAAGAAGATAATTTTTGCTTACTTGACAATTTTGAGGTCGGAGAATTCAATATTTTTTCCAACCATGCCACATTGTCGTTTTCTTTTAAAACTAATATTGAACCATTATATGAGCCTACAAGTAGTACTAATACACGTATTAAGTTTGATAAAAGATACCAAGATTTATTTTTGAGAGATATATCACAAAATTTGAACTCACTTGAAAGTGATTTACGTACTGAAATTAATGGAGAAAACAGTGTTGATAAACTCACTTCTATTTTTACTAATTTTTTGTGTGAGCATGGTGATAAGTATTTCAAGAAGACTTATATTGTTGACAGTAAAGTTTGTTTTAGTGATAATAACAAAAATAAGAAATGGTTTGATAATTTATGTTCTCAAAAATTGGCTGCATATAAGGATGCTGTATCCAGATATAATTTATCTTACTCTTCAGAAGATAGAACTATACTTTTTAATAAAAGAAAAGACTATAAATATCAATGTAGAAAATCAAGGAATGCTTTTAATAATACACGTTGTCAAAAAATGAACGATTTAAGGAGGAAATCACCAAGGGAATTTTGGAAAATATTCAAAAGTACAAATTCTACTGTTTGTGGGGAAGATATTTCAGTTAGTGATTTTAAAGATTATTTTTGCAATTTAATGTCAGGGGAGAGCGAGGAGGTGGAAAATAATGACTATGACGATTTTATCAATAATTTAGGTGAGGGGATATATGACAGTAGCACATTTGAGACGCTAGATGAACGTATCACAAATGAGGAAATCTTGAAAGCTATCAAGAAGCTAGGAGTAAACAAAACGCCCTCGTTAGATAATATCCTATATGAATATTTTAAAGTATCTGTCCCTCAGATAATTCACCCTTTAAACTTGTTCTTTAACGATATACTAGATAAGAAGAAATTTCCCAAGTCATGGGCGACAGGTGTTATTATTCCCTTGCATAAGAAGGGCAATATTTCAGATCCCAACAATTATAGAGGAATCACACTTACTAGCTGTTTTTCTAAGCTGTTTACAATTATATTAAACGAAAGACTTAAATCATGGGCTGAAGACAACTGTGTATTATCGGATGCCCAGTTTGGTTTCAAAAATGGGTATAGCACAGTTGATCCTGTTTTTATCTTACATTCACTCATACAAAGGCAAATTGAAAACAAAAAGAAACTGTACTGTTGTTTCGTTGATTATAGAAAAGCATATGACTGTATTGATAGGTCAAGGTTATGGTATAAACTTATAAAATTAGGTATTGACGGCAAATTCTTGTCAATTATAAGATCAATGTATAATGAGGTGAAATTGTGTGTTAAACATCTAGGAACGTTATCTGATGTCTTCAATAGTAACATTGGTCTATTCCAGGGGGAGATAACTTCTCCAATATTTTTCTCCCTGTTCTTGCATGATATCGAATTACACCTGCAAGAAAATATTGACGTTGGTCTTAATATCGACCAAATATCAATTTATTTATTGTTATTTGCTGACGATGCCGCCATGATTTCAGAATCTAGGTCCGGTTTGCAGAAGTCACTTGATAGTTTATTGTCCTATTTTAATCGTTGGAATTTGACGGTAAATGTTGAAAAGACAAAAATAATTGTATTCAGAAAAGGTGGTAGACTTGGTAATATGGATAACTGGTTTTATAATAATCAAGAGATGAAGGTAGTAAATTCATTTAACTACTTAGATGTGGTATTCACGAGTGGGGGATCATTCATGCAAGCTACAAAGACGTTAGCTGGAAAAGGGCTCAGATCATTAAATTAATTCTTACAATTGTTACTTGACTACAAAGTACCAGTTACCATTATGTTTAATCTCTTTGACGCCTATATTTTTTTAAATTTTAAATTATGGCTGTGAATTAAGGGGTTTATGAATGCAGAAGTTTTGGAACGAGTACATATTAAAATTTGTAGGTTTATTTTAAATATTAAACAGTCAACAAATACTTTGGCATTATATGCAGAATTTGGGAGATTTCCTCTTTACATTGAAAGGCATATTCGTATGGTTAAATATTTTCTTAAGTTAAATACAAGTAAAAAAGATAATTGTATATTGAGAACAATATTGTGTAGACAGATATATGATGTTGATGTGGTAAATTGTTCAACAAACTGGGCTTCAAAAGTTAAAAACATTCTTCAGTCAGCAGGATTTAATGAAGTCTGGTTATATCCCGATTCTGTTAATATAAAACTATTTGTACCTATTTTTAGGAATAGATTACGGGATATTTATATAAGTTGTTGGAATGATGGTATTCAATCTTCATCATTGTTAGATGTATATAGGGAATATAAGATTACATTTGAACAATCGTTATATATAAAATATATTGAAAATGTAAAATATAGAAATGTTTTAGCAAAAATAAGACTCTCCTCACACAAACTTAATATCGAGTTAGGAAGACATAATAATGTACCAAGGAATGAACGAAAGTGCACTTTATGTTATATGAATGATATAGAAGATGAATTTCACTTTATCCTTAAATGTCCGATATATTCTGAGTTAAGAAAGCAATATATTCCAAGATACTATTATTGCAACACAAGTATGTTTAAATTCATTTCATTAATGCAAACTGGTCGCAAGAAAGAATTGAAAAATTTAGCTATATTCTGTGATAAAGCTTTTAAATTGAGGGATAGTTTGTTATAATATACTGACATGTAAGCTTTACTCTCTTTCTCTGTTTTTTTCGGTTGTTTAAAAAAAATGAAAAAAGTATCATTGTAACTGTTAAATGCGCATTGTATATCCATCATGTAGATTTGTAAAGTTATATGTGAATATGAAATTGTACATATATACATATATTTTTATTTTATTTATTTATTAATATTTGTATCTTCTGAAATTAACTATATCTGTTTTTCAACACATAACCAAATATAAATACCATGATAAAATGTTTTGACAAAACTAATCCTTATAATTAAGTCAAGTGTTAGTTGTTTTGGGTATTGGTATGTTTTGTGTGGGTTTTTCTTTTCTTTATATATATAAAAAAAACGTACAAAATCAGTAAATGTATTCATTTTTCATATAGAAATGAATTCTATTAATATTGATCATGAATTATTAAGGGGACGTAAATGTTAAAATACTGGTTACGTAAAGTTACCTAAGTTATCCCCCTTCATTTGTCACAGTTTGCTTTTTTGTATTCACATAAAAGAAAATGTATTGTAGCTTAAATTGATAATGTTTGGTAAAGATAGGCCAATTCTTGTGTATTATATACATGTATTCATATGTTTTTTAAGTAATTTGGTATCTCAAATTAAACATTCTCACATCACATAAACCATTATTTTGTAATTATATATGTTCATGTCATGTGTCATTTATGTATTATATGTTGTATTTGTATATTTAATATGGTGATGAGCTTTTTATGCTTAAACCAAGTAATAAAGTTTCAAAGTTTCATGTTATTGCAATGATTGAATTACGGAAGGAAAATACTGGTGAGGAATAAAACCCTCTCCCATTCTTCTCAATACAACTGAAGGATAACACGGTGCCCCCTTTCAACTTTTTATTTCTTAATAAATTTTAATAAATCAAATTAATGATTATTTAATAAACTTCATGGGGATGCCTTAAAAAAAGAAATAATTAAGTAAAAGTGTTAAGATTTTGGTAGATTATTTATTATTAAAATGTTCAGACTTTGAAATTGTGTCGCAGTTCATTATTTCAGAATTTTATCAAAACTCAGAACTTGCGCCGGTCGAGTTGAAATTTTCGCTACGCTTAGCAGACGAAAACGTTAGCACGTGCACGAATTCACCGGTTAACCCAGCTCCCACGACTTCTAGAATAGTATGGGATGATAAAAAAATACATCTTTTTCGTGCACAGCTCACTATTAAACAAAATTCATGTAATCACATTATCAATTTTTCGATAAATCTTACACAAAACATGTAACCATGCAAAAACCAGCAAAGATTGGTTTCACGCTAACTGTGTTAAGTTACCGCAAAAAAAATGAGTTTAAACGCGCATGTAATTATTTTAATAGTAATAAAACAAATGAAAACAGGGTATTGTTCAAGCGTTCTAGAACTAAGTATAATAAAGTGAAGAAGAAAGCATACACTATGTACAAAATTCGACAGGACACGAAAGTTAGCAATTTAGCTAAATCTCAACCTAGACAGTTTTGGAAAAACGATTCGAAAATCTTTTTAAAAGTCACCATTAAAGGATGATAATCTTAATATCGATAGTTTGTTTAACCATTTTAAAGGCATGTTTGGTGAGAATCCGTCGAATAGTGAAAATGACGACTATATTCCGATGAAAGACCAGACCGACGATGACCTAGATAGCTATTTTACAGAACAAGAACTTATAGATCCGCAGTTTTCCACCAAAACAATAATAAAATGCCGGGATTAGATAATCTTCGAAGTGAATTGTTTAAGTCGAGCTATGATTTAATTTCATCTCTTTTGTTGAACATATATAACAGAATATTTAACAGTGGTGAATATCCTAATTCTTGGGGTTAAGGAATAATTACACCTATCTTTATAAATGGGGACATAAATATGATGCTAAAAATTATTGAGGCATAAGTCTTATTAATGTACTTGCAAAAATTTACTCTCAGTTACTTTTGAATAGATTAACTCAATGGTCCAACAAATGCGATACGTTTGACAAAAATGAATTCGGATTCAAAAAGGGAAAGTCAATAATTGATTATATATTTGTCCTAAATTCTGTAAATTAGTAAAGTTTTAGACTTGGGAAAAAAAACTTTATTACTGTTTTGTTGATTACATGTTATGTTTTGATAGAATTAATAGAACATATTTATGTAAAAAATTCGAATAGAAAAAGTTAGTAGTAAATTTGTACGGGCCGTAAAAGCAATGTATACTATTGTTAAGTCATCTGTAAAGTTCAATTCAGAATCATCAGACTTCTTCACCTCTAACATCGGATTGAAACAAGGGGACCCGAGCTCCCCTCTGCTATTTATGTACTTCGTAAATGACGTCACACACAATATTAATACAAATATTGATGATATATTCACAATCAACGAAGTAAAATACTTTTTATTATTGTATGTTGATGACCAAGTACTTTATGCACATTCCCCGGAAGCATTACAGTCTATTATTAAGGAATCTTGTAACGTATTGTACGAAGTGGGGTCTAACAATCAATACTAAAGTTTTAAGTTTTTATTGATATCTCAAGGCCCAACTTGGTATGTGAGAACAAACAATACAACAAATTATTACAAAACAAAGAAAAGTGATACATCATTAAAATGAAACCATGGCAATGTTATCAACATAATTATGTACATAAGGAAACAAAAAAGAACAAAAAATACATGTACAAAATTTAACAGTATAGAATCGGAGAAAGAGATCAAAATGCAAAAAAATATATCAATATGTATTGTTAAGCACAAAGATAATTTTCTTACAGAATATTGCTAGATTGAGTAAAACATTTTTGCTTTCACTATTCATTAACTTTGAAAATTTAATAATGTTAGATGTTTGAAAATATGAATAGGGTAAATATGTCTTTCTCGGGCGTTGAAAATATATAGTAACAGTTAAATAGATAATGAAATTCGTCACCTAACAGATTATCAGAACATAAACAACACACTCTTAGACTTCTATCTAAATTTAAAAAAATCTACCTGTTTCAATTGGCATTTTGTGGTTCATACATCTAAATTTGAAAAACGCTATTGCTAAATCTGATGGTAAAATGTTAATGTATATTTTTCTCAAAACAATGTTGAGTTTTAAAAATTCTATAATTCAGACATTTACTGGATTCATAAATATAAGTTTGCCAACCTAGAATAGACTGATACTTAATTCTAATATAAATATTTTTTCTTAAAATGAGGGACGGAATTGACTGTTTGAAAAATCCAATATCTTGACAGACCGAGAGAATCTAAAGAAGTATGCACAAATTTCAACCACGGTTTTAAAATCCACATCAAAATCAGAGTATAGTTTCTTTGACATGCAATACAGCATAGAACAAATTTTATCTTTTTATCATTAATCAATTTGCCCCTATAGTTCAGAACTATAGACTTAATTTGCAAAGACAAAGGCAATATTCCTAGCTCGCCATAAATCATACATGATGGGGTAGATTGCTTCAGTCCGAAAACTAATTTGATATATTTCGACTGGAAACGATCAATTATTTCTACATTTTCCACTCCCAAGACCTCGGATCTATATAAAATAACAGGAGCCACCATTGCATCAAATAAACTCAATTGTATATCAAATGGTAAGGCAAGTTTACGAGACTTTGTTAACACAGAAAACATAGCTTTTCGAGCTTGATCAATCAGTTTTTTATTTGTTTGGGTCGTCAGACCAAACAAGTAATGGTAGCGAAATTTCAGAGTCTAATGCTGTTAATTGCAAATGCCTAAAGTAGTCCACTTTTTTGAAGCGGTAACTTCCCTTTATATGTACAATAACGCCGAAAAATTCAGGGGAGATCAATGCGTAAAGATTATCAAATGAGAGGCGCATTAATTTTCAAGCAAAGTAGTTCCCGAATGGTCGAAGATTTCTAATATTTTTTTATTCTTTATAGATATACATGTTTACAGTAAGCTCCATGATTATTTACATCTGTTTTAAACAACAGGTTTAGCGTGTTACAAACTCTTATTAAGAAGAATTTATAATCTCACAACCTTCACCTTTCTGACATTCAGAGACACAAACAAATTCAGCGCCTTCTGTGCTTTGATTTTTTTCTTGTGCCTAAAAATTGTCCGTTAAATGAAAATTGAACCCCAAGATAATCAAAACAGTCTACGATCTCAATTATGTTACCCTCAAACTCTAGAGGATTAATATTATTCAACCCCCTTTTACTTTTACAGAATACAACAATTTTTGTTTTGGCAGTGTTAACCTTTAAACGCCAAGTATTACAGTAATCAGACATTGCATTTAATGCTTTTTGTAACTTATTAGGACTTTCAGCTAAAATAACCGTATCGCCAGCATAAAGCAACATAAACAATTTAAGATAAACTTCAAAATCATCTGTGCTTAAAGTATGACTAACACTGTTAGACAGGAAATTTAAACCTTCAAATCTCTGAGACAGGAACGAGTTCAAGTCATTTAAAAACAAAGAGAATAAAACTGGGGATAAATTTTCAACTTGTCGGACGCCAGACAGACTTGAGAAAAAAGTCATTAAAATGGTCACTGACTCTAACACAGGACTTAATATTTTCATACATCCTATGTATTATCTTAAGACATTCACACTTAACAACTTGTTCTATAAAGCAAGTCTATTTACAGAATCAAAGGCTTTTCTATAATGAATAAAAGCACAAAATAGTTTCCTTTTTGTTAGCCAAGAACAAATCTATTACACATTTTGGTGAAAAAAATATGATCAACTGTGTATTTTTTTAAAACCCAGCCTGCTCTTCACAAAGAATATTATCAGATTCTAAAAAAAATATTCAGACTATTCACAACGAATGTAAATAATTTTCCAAAACAACTCAAAATTGTTATTCGAACCATTTATATCACCTTTATTCTTGTTTAAAGGAAGAATTACCCTATTACACCAAATTTCAGGGAATAAACCTGAATCAAAAATAATATAAAATAGTTTGCAAACAATTGGTAACATTGAACAAAGCAATTTTTAAGGTATTCATTTAAGATATTGCAGTTTTGTTGTTCTTTAAAACTGACTGAAATTTATTTACTGTAAATGGTAAATTTAAGTCTTTCATGTAGTTGCTTATCAGATCAATATCTACCTCATTAAAATATGTCCATCATTATAATGTTAGCGTACCACTATAGGCGCGTCAATGAAAAATGACTCTTTTTAAAAGTTCACCGTTTTTATTTATATTATGTGATAAACATAATTTTATATGCGTTCAGATTCAATACTACATTTATTGAACTCGTTGAGTAAAACAATATCATTCAACTCGTGGTTAATAAATTTAGTATTAAACCTACACTCATTAAAGATCCTCTATATATAAACGTCACGAATATCCCACGTGCAGTATTATAATTTCTTTTTACCGATTTCGCATATTTCCTGTATGTAGTATTATCAAATAAACTTTTAAAAAAAGATACATGTATATAATAAAACAAGAGCCGGTTTGAACCGGGTGATGCTCCCCGAACAGGTTTAGATACAAAAAAGTACACCTCTTGTAGGTTCAGAGTAATGTCATGGACAAAGTTCGAAGTACAATCATTCCTAAATTAGGCAGGACACAGTTACTGTTCTTTGCACTGCACTTCGTCTCAATGTGATCTACCTGACAAATAAGTTTCTTGTTGATGCTCTTGTAGTTTCACAGTAATGTCCGGACAAAGTTCACAGTGTAAAATTGAAAAGGGGCAATAACTCAAAAATTAAGCAAGGCAGAGTTATGGTTCTTTTGCACTACAATTCTGTTAAATGTGATCTATCTTCCTACAAAGTTTCTTGTTGATACCTCATATGGTTTCAGGACTATGTCACGGACAAAGTGCAAAGTAAAAAAATGAACAAAGGACAATAACTAAAAAATTAGGCAAGGCAGAGATACGGATTTTGTTTTTGTTTTGCACTTCTATTAAATGAGATATATCCACCTACACATTTTCTTGTTGATACCTCCTATGGTTTCAGAGCTTTGTCCCGGACAAAGTTCAAAGTGAAACAAGGGTTTTCAGGTTATGCGTTTCTAAAAGGGGAGATAATTCAAAAACGGGGACATTAGAGTTACGGTTCACTTGGCAGTGCACACCACCTCAATGCTCTCTACCACTTTATGTAGTTTAAACAAATTACCTCCAAAGGCTTTCAGGTTATGCTCCGGACAATATTATTTCTAAAAGGGGAGATAATTCAAAAATATGGCAATACGTAGTTATTGTTCTTTGGCACCGCACTTTGCCTCAATACCCTCTACCGTTTTGTGCAGTTTAAACAAAAAATCTCAAAGAGCTTTCAGGTTATGTTCTGGACTAGATTTTTCTAAAAGGGGAGATAATTCATCAACGGGGAAAACATTTTGTGGAACTGCATTCCGCTTCAATACCTGCTACTGTGTGCAATTTAAACAAATTATGTCCAAGTCTTTTCAAGTTATGATCCATACAAAACGTGCGGACAGACAGACATGGCGGCGACTAAATGCTCTCCCTTCAGAGAGCATAAAAATCCGTTCCTGCATTCACATCTATATTTCTCCAGTGTGTTTTGTTACATGTGTTTAAAGATGCTTTCATAAAGAAAGTGTTTTTTTTTTCTTCAAATATTTCGTATTAATATTTCTTCTCTTCAGGGTGTATCTTCATATTACGTTAAGATTTAAACATTTCTTTTAGAAAATTGTCCGTCACATAGTCCGCATTTATATTAGCTCCTTCAAGTGTGGACGATCGAATGTCTTTCTAAAGAACTTATAGAAGGAAACGACCTGTTACAAATGTCGCAGTGATAGTGTTTCACCCCTATATGAATTTTCATATGTCGTTTAATATTACTATATTGAGTAAATGCTCTGTCACAAATTTCACATTTATAATTCTTTTCTCCTGTGTGTATTTTCAGATGTACTTTAAGAGTTTCCTTTCGAGTGAATGCTTTGTCACATATATCACATTTATAATCATTTTCCCCTGTGTGTATTTTTTGATGTATTAGAAGATAATAATTTTGAGAAAATGCTTTGTCACAGATTTCGCATTTGTAATTCTTCACTGCGGTGTGTACTGTTTTATGCGATATTAGTGATGATTTACGAGGAAATAATTTCTTGCAGACAGTACATTTATAATTCTTTTCTCCAGTGTGCACTTTCATGTGATTTGTAAGAGTAGGTTTAAGAGCAAATGATTTCTCACAGACTTCGCATTTATACTTCTTTTCCCCTGTGTGCACTTTCATGTGATTTGTAAGAGTAATTTTATGAGCAAATGATTTCTCACAGACTTTGCATGTATAAGCCTTTTCTCCTGTGTGCACTGTTACGTGATTTGTAAGAGTAAATTTACAAGCAAATGATTTCTTACAGACTGTACATTTATAATTCTTCTCTCCAGTGTGCACTACCATGTGCTTTGTAAGAGTATTTTTGCGAGCAAATGATTTCTCACAGACTGTACATTTAAAATTCTTCTCTCCAGTGTGCACTACCATGTGTTCTGCAAGAGTATCTTTACGAGCAAATGATTTCTCGCAGACTTCACATTTATACTTCTTTTCACCTGTGTGCACTTTCATGTGATTTGTAAGAGTATCTTTACGAGTAAACGATTTCTCACATAATTTGCATTGATAGTCAATCTCTCCTGTGTGTATTCTCATATGTATGTTAAGATAAGAATTTCGTGTAAATACTCTGTCACAGATTTCGCATTTATTCTTCCTCTGCCCTGTGTGTACTGTCATATGTAATCTCAATGTACTTTTATGAACATATTTTCTGTCACAGATATTACAAACGTGACATCTTAAGTTATTATCACTTTTGCAAACTGGCTGGTGCTTTTCCGAGTTGCTGCTACGTGTATTAAAATTGGATAATTTCTTTTTGTCTTTACCCCTGTCCATATGCTTCTTTCTGATCAGCCAGAATACAGTTCTTTTTTCCTATAAAATAAGCACTACAACTTTAATTCATCCTGCATGTCAAGCATTGCTATTGTACAAAACAAAATATCTGCTTAGAATTCTCCCCACCAAAGTCACAAAGTATTTTTTCACAAGAATCTCAATTTATCACAACAAACGCCAGTCACAAGTGCTAAGAACAATTATATTAAAATCACACAATCCATTGCGAGTTCTGATCTGACCTCTGCATGTGACTTTTCCCTTGACCAAAAGGACCTAATTTTTGTGCACGGCACTAAACCTGACAGTATTAATTGAATATTTCGGCCAAATTATATATAACTACCCCTCTATGCTTATAACAGTTTAACATATGTTTTCCTCTGACCTATAAGCATGACCTTGACTTTTGACCTAGAGATCGGTTGCATGTGTGCAACACTAAAACTGATGATGGCAAGCAATACTTAGATCCCACTATATGCTCTTGACCTATCTCCACATTTTATTATCTTTAGTGACCTTGAAGAAGCCTGTCCGCCCACCCGCCTAGTATATTTGCCGATTATTTGTTTGTTGTTGTTGTTGTTTTGTTTTTTTAACAGACTTATAAAATGACGAGGGTATTTTATACTTCTGACGTCATTCAAAGAATATTCAGTGAAAATATCCCACATGTCTTCTCTTTACTGATTTTAAAAGATAGACAAGTACATCTTGAAAAGGGTAAATAATGTTTCTCCTTCTTTTTTTCGTAACTTAATATCAGTTTAAGCGTCATGTGTACAATCAAGGGTCGAAACAACTCGGCAATCTCCGTCAAGTTCGAATTCTTAAAGTCGCCCGAGCTGTTCCGATTGATGTACAATATTTAAATAGAGTTGTAAAATTACATTACGCTTTTGTCGTATGTTTCGTTTATGTAGCAGGCGGCAGGCTAAAGATAAAGGTCATAAGATTAAGAACGCAGTGGTGAATCATTTTGTGGTGATTAATTGTTAATTTTTAAACACAAATGAGCCGTGTCACGACAAAACCAACATAGTGCGTTTGCGACCAGCATGGATCCAGACCAGCCTGCGCTTCCGCGCAGTCTGGTCAGGATCTATGCTGTTCGCTTACAAACTCTATTACAAGTAGAGAAACTGATAGCGAACAGCATGGAACCTGATCAGACTGCGCGGATGCGCAGGCTGGTCTGGATCCATGCTGGTCGCAAACCCAATATGTTGGAGGCTCAAATATTGATATGTTTTACCTGATGACTTTTATTCTTTATAGTAAACACAATTTTCTTCTTCTGGGTGAAATGTATCCTTTCCAGTAGGTTTAAAATAAAGTCAATTGGTGTACAAGTTCATCAATATCAAGTATTAAAAACGTATGTGACGTGACAACTCAAATTGGCGCTTTTATACAGTAAAAAACAGGAAAAAAAAAACATTAATATGCCTCCCGGATATACAGGTAGTTAATAACTTCTGACACATTCTGGAGCTATGAAGAATTTATCGATAATAAGACCAATTTAGTCATTATGATATCACATTAGCCAACAAAATCCGGAAGTACTAATTAAGTATTTATTTGTAACTATTATTTACTTAACTTTAACTTAATTTTCCAATATAAAAATCAGATAATTTAATCAAAGCACAGATGGCGCTGAATTTGTTTGGGTCTCAGAATGTCAGAAAGGTGAAGGTTGTGAGATAATATCTTTTTCTTCATCTTTAATGAAAAAACGTTTTCTTGTTTGTGTTTTATGTGTCATTTTAATACTGATTTATTACGTTTATTACTATTAAATTCTTATTTTTAACTTTTATTAAATTTTAAAAATTCAATTATCATATTGACCGACAATTATGATTCTAAAATTAATTGGAAAAGGCAGTAAATTATGATTGATCTTTCAATATATTATATCCATGATTCTTAAACCATTTTTTTTTTTACTTAACCCATTACGCGATATACACGCCTTTTAACGCCTTTTTCACCCCCCCCCCCCCCACCTTTTTGTTGTATCTAATGATGAAAAATTAGCAATTAGTCTTATAGCCATTCTACTACAATTAAAACGTTGTAAAGCATTGGTGGCACTATACAAAAACAAATTGTTTTATAATCTCACAACCTTCACCTTTCTGACATTCTTAGAAAATTTTGGACTTGTGAGAGGCTATAAATGACCACAGATTGATCATAAGGTAACGTGTAACCAACGCTG